TTTTGGTAACCAATAGCCCCATAGTAAAAAGACCCCCCCCCAGCTCGTACAATATTTATTCCTTTAATAATCTTGTCAGATCCAGTGTTATTTTTTCAAGAGAAGACTATTTCAGAGATCTTTATCTGTCCTCGTCCAACAACTTTTCCATCTGAGATAACATCCTATTAACCTTTAGAAGGACTTGAATTCTTGGAAGGGGTTCAAATGGGTTGTATTTACAGTTTAAAGAGACTATTACTTAATTGCTTTGGTCACTGGTAAGGTCTTATTTGGAATATTGTATTCATTCTTGGGTTCCTTACCTTAAGAAGGACTTGAATTGTTGGAAGGGGTTCAAAGAAATAGGACTGTAGGTTGTATCTACATACGTATTGAATATAAGTCTAAAGAGGCTATAATGTCATTGTATAAGCCATTGGTTAGGTCTCATTTGGATTACTGTTTTCATTCTTGGGCTCCTTATCTTAGAAAAGACGTCAAATATTACGAAGGGGTTCAGAGGAAGGCTACTGGAATGGAAAGGTTGTTATACGAGGATACGTTATGATTTATGAAATTGATTTCTTAAAAAAAAGTTAGAGGGGATCTGATTGAGATGTCCAAGGTTGATAAAGAAATTGATGGTGTTGATGCATCATCATTTTTCATACTTAATAGTGAGAAAGATAACACTATGGGACACAGATATGCATTTTGGTAGGGTAGGTATCATTTTAAGCTAAGACAGCTTTTCTATTAGTGTAGTTGGCCGTTTGGAATAAGCTGACCTCAATTGTGATAGATGCAGTTAATTTAAGGGAGTCTGTTTGTTTGTTGTTAAGCATTAAACTACACAATAGGTTATCTGTGTTGTGCCCACCATGAGAAACGAAACCCGGTTTTAGCGGGGTAAGTCTTTGACCTCACCGGTGAGCTACTGGAGTGTTTATTTGAGTCTAAGGGAAGGCTTAGTAAATATCTGCTAAACGTGGACTAAAGAGGACACATGAAATTGTTGGAACTTGTATCGATATAAATTTGGTGTTGTTCTATTATTGTGAATTTAAACTTACTTATAATATCATCTTGAGAGAGAGAGAGAGAGAGAAAGTTATGAGATTATGCACAACCTAGTAACAGTGATTGTCTTTTCATGTGAGTAATTATCTATGCTTTATTTGCTTTTTATTAGTATTGTAATAAAGATTGATTCAATATTTATCAACTTTGTCAAGTCTCGTTATTATACATGCACTAGGGAAAGTTACTCCCCTAACTTTCCTGAAGGAATTTGTAAGTTACTTGTGGATCTGTCTATCTAATACTTGTCGGAAATTTGGTAGTTTTTAAACTGAAATTACCACAGTAGTTTTCTTGTTTCCATGTCTAACTGTTTGGTCAATTATATCCAAAGTGCAAAATAAAAAAATATTCGCTTTATTTTTTCTAAAATAATATTAAATGTTCTAGTAAAGATGGCACTATCAAAATGGATCATTTAACATGACGTACTCCCACAATGCAATACTTCTATCTTGTTTGGTGCAACGCCATATTTATTTATATTGATAATTTTTCAAATGTGAAGTGATATAGATGAAATTAAAGAGACAAGTTGTTTAAGGAATGCAAGTGTGTCACCCGTTTGGTTACTTTTAGAGTGTAGTAGAAATGATGTATTCTACTAAGAGTAAGATTAGTGTGTATATAATCGGATCGCCTATAGGCCACTACGATTGGTTTCAACTTTTTTTGTGACCCAAGTCTGGACAGCACAGCGTCAGTAATTGACGGACCAGAGTTGAGGTTAAGCCTAAATTATAATTGAATTGAGCTACATTAAGCCTAAATTTCAGGTAGGTATAAAACTGTGATTCCTGTTTGAAACAATTATAAACGAGTAACCTAATTTTTGCAACGTTCTAATAAGATCAAAATATATAGTCATAGTAAAACATTGCATATCACTGTAGTGTTACTGATAATGATAATTTGTTGAAATATTATTATTAATTATTAATAATAATATTATGAAGTTTGAATACTAACTGACTAAGAACTGAGTTAACGTCGTCACTACTCAAATTGTCACAGTATTCAAAAATCATGCTTAGTGTTTCTAGTTCTACAATTTGCATTTACCTAAGCTGATCTGCTTACATTGAGTTACGGTAATAGTGGACATGTATAATGAAGTACAAAACATTTAGTATTATGAGTGTTTCACACTTATTTTTATGGAAGAAAGCCAAAAGATGAATATGACTGTATAAGTATTACAATGCAAAACTCTCAGGTGAACCTTTAGTGCAACTTGTAAATTTATATTATGATTATGAGTTAGTTTTTGTAAATATTTTTATGAAGATTTTGTTTGAAATTCAGTTAAAGTAAGGACATCACATTTAACAGGTTCCTACATGGAAATATCTGTCAAAAGGTTAGTGTCAGATAAATAGTGAAAAGAGTATGAAATTTTAGTAGAAATCTTCATAAAGAATAATTTTTCATAATATGAAATAGTTCCTTAAAAAGATGTTTGTGTGTGTGTTAATTTTAGTCCTACAACCCTTACTATTTAAGAAAGTGTAATGTAAACTTGTTATCAGTTTGTTGTGTCAAAATTTGGGCAGCAAGTGGACTTTTCCCCTTGATCTGTAGACGATTTGGATTTGACAAGTGTAACAGTGATATTTTCTTTAACACTGAATCCTCTCCATTTAACTTTGGAGAGAAGGATACTGAATGAAAACAGTGGGATGGAACCATATCTTCTACTAATATTTTATTCTCCTATAAAACATCCATTCTTTAATGATTTTGCATTATGACATAGTGTCATTTCAACTTATCATAAAAACTAATGAATTAATATTTTCAAAGTGAATTGAAGTTTATAGAAAAAATTGAAAGTGATATGGTTAAACTTGGCATATTTTTTGGTGGGGCTTTGTAGCTGGTATCTTTATTCAGCTTCCTATTTATCTATATCTATTCAAAATGTCATAATCTTATATTTTGCTGCTTTAAAAATAGTCTTACTAACTTGGATCCAATATTACATGACACCTAAAGGGTATTATGCTGTTTTCCTCTTTCATGTGAGTTTTAGTATTATATTTCATGCTTATGACTTCATATTCTAGTGGCACTTGTCTGTATAACTTTTTATATGGGTAGTTACTATTACATTAGGACTTGTCATGGCTTTCATACTTATCAGAATAGACCTGGGTGGGCCTAACCCACTTTTCCCCACTGGGTTTTTTGATGAAAAACCCACACAAAAAAATCTACCTAATCTTTTTGCTATTTGCAGAAATTATATTACTAGGGCTTGGTCACTCTTGACAAAATATAACTTTTATTTATCAATGAATTTAGTTTACATGCTTTTCTGTCATGTAAGTTAACTCTTTTTCAGCACGGTTCAGTCCATGGGACTAACATCATAACCATTTTGTGCTTGCTATAATTTTCATGCTATAACTTTTAAATTAGTAAGCAAATGTTAACGAAATTTTGCAGGTTATCAGTAAACATTACAATGCTTTCATACACAAAATATAAAAATTTTTTTATCAAGTCTTAAGGTTTCTAAAGTAATGTTTTTCTCATGTCTTTTTTTTTTTTGTTAACAAAATTTGGCAGGTTATCAGTAAAGATTACAATGTTTTCATAGACAAAATATACATTTTTTTTTTTATTAAGTCTTAAGGTTTGTAAAGCAATGTTTTTCTCATGTCTTTTTTTTTTTCAAAATGTATAAAATAAAACCTGCTGGCCATTAAACTACTTCAAAAAAAATAAAGGAACTATTTTGAAACTTTGAGAACCTTTTACTTCTAGAAGGTAGTTGAGGCTAATGCCAACAGCTCAAAAGCAACAGTATCTTCAGTCTGTTTCCTTCCTATACAGTGCATTGTTTATTATATATTTATTAGCAATCACAGTTGTGCATTATATTATTGCCAGTGTATAATTAAACTCCTGCTATGCAGGAATGAAAAGAAATATTAATAAAAACATAAAATTCTAGGTTCACTATGTAATTATGAAAAGTTACACAAATATTAAACTCAGACTAATAAGCATGCACATCTAAGTACTGTGAAGAGTAAAGCAGAACTGATGTTTTAATGCAACAGATATGCAAAATGTAAGATGTAATATTTACTTAACTATGCAAATTTGAAAATTAGTAATAAATGCTAGCTGTGTGTATTTAAACTCGTATATATTGGGAATCTTGGTGTCTGTCCAAGCATTCATCTGTGTTGGTACCTTTACCCTTTTTGTGTTATATCAGTGACATAGATAAGTGAATGGTCAGTAAGTTAAATTTTCTGTTGGTATTAAGTTCTTGGGTGTTGCTAGCTGTGAGGGGGAACACTGCTGCTTCACACAAGGACTTAGATTATTTGGTGAGTTGAGCAAATATCTGGCAGATGAGTTTTAATTATAATAAATACAAAATAATGCATGTGTGTTATCATAATTTAAATTATAAGTTTATTTTTAGAGTGTATAAACTTAATAGCATTATGGAAGAAAAGAAAATTTGGAGTTTTCATTGATCAGTCTCTTAAGCCAATCAAGCAATATGCTGTTGCAAGTGGCAGAGTAAATAAGATTTTGGGTTGTATTTACAGTTTAAAGAGACTATTACTTAATTGCTTTGGTCACTGGTAAGGTCTTATTTGGAATATTGTATTCATTCTTGGGTTCCTTACCACCCTGCTTGGATGGCTTATGAGATTCATCAACAAGAACACTAAGATTTTCCCCCTATAGCACTGTTAAGGTTATTCCCATCAAAATTATATTCATAATTTAAAGCCGTCTGTCACTTATCCGAACGTGTTGGGTAACATATGATAATGGATTCCTAAATGCGACAGCATAAGCATGTTTTCTATTATGCATTTAAACCAGTTTATATATATCTAATTATGTACACGAATTGGATACACACGTAAGACGGACCAGTTTGGGATGGATAGTTCCATTTATTGAAATGTTTTTCCAGTTGATCCTTTTGGATTCTTAAATGTTCCAAGCTCTTACTAGAAATAGGGTACGCTGTTATATAAAAGAGGGGAAGGTAATGTGTGTGTAGATAGTGAGTAATTGAACTGCAGTCACACGGTATTGTTGAAGTTAACGTTCGTTCGTTACAGTGTTGTTTTAGCGCGAGTATTGAGATTAAGTGTATGGCAGAGTTATATTCGGAAAGAATAAACCAGTTTTATTAAGTAAAGACTTGTGTCCGTTAAAGTTTCGTTGGAACGAAGTTACGGAAAAATCAATTAACAAACGGAGACGTAACAATATATAAAATGTGTATATATATAATGGAAAGCCGCCGAAGAACACAGGCCTATAACGTTTCCAAATATTTGCTAGTGATGTAAAATGTATAAATATTCTTGTTGCACATGTGTACATGTTAGCCATATATTATGCTTTAGGCCTTCACAGGTGCGAGAAGTTTTATATCGGGATATTTTTATTAATTTAGCACACGCACACATGCTCTGTACTTATATTTCATTATCTATCTACGCCAGTACACGGTTATTCAATACGTTGCATGTGACATGAATACAGCGACGCACAGCGGGTAGAGGCGTCCATATTTTTGAATTACTAAATTACATAACAATAAATTACATTACAATGTTCAAAGACTTAGTTTTGAATTGTTTTTTACCCTTTGTCAAATTACTATCGTAGGATGTGTGCTGTCTCTCACACTTTCTCTTTCTGGCCTATTTATAAATATGTTTAGTAAAACATCAGACTGGAAAAAAAAGTACGAATAACTTTGGAAATATAAAATATTATCATAGACCGCCTGCTCTATGCCCCCAAGAGCAAAGTGAAAGTCCCAAGGGCTAGGTGTAAAATGCCAAGCACATATAGCGTCTACGTGAGAGGAAAGCTAGATGGCCAAAAGTGCAACTTTATCATAGATTCTGCGTCTCAACAAACCCTTGTGAGCATCAAGGTGTTAAATCACAAAGGAGTACCAGAAGCTGTACAGAAGCTCTGTGGTGTGACAGGACATTCTGCAAGGTTGTGGGTACCAGTGTGGGTAACTATCGAGCTCATGGTCATGAAGAACAGACAGAAAGTATACTTGGCTGACATTGAAGACCAGTGCATATTAGGATTGGACTATCTATTACCGAGGAAGTGTGTAATTAATTTTGATAAAATGACGTTTGGGAACAACAAAGTTCAAATTCCGGTAAGTGTTAAAAAAGAGGTTGAGCTAACCAGGTGTCATCAAGCTGAAGTCAAAGTGACTGAAGGAGTTGATGATGGTGAAATGGAACCAGGTATAGATATTAAATCAGAGCAGGAGAAAGACCAAGATTTGAAGCCAATAATTGATTTTCTAAAAGCAGGTGTTTTGCGCCCTGCTTGGGAGAAGGTGTCTAGTCTAAGCCCTGTGACAAAGAACTATTGGGCACAATGGGACCAGTTGAAGCTTGAAGATGGTATTCTTCTCCGGAGACGGGAAAGTGACGACCTGGCAAACGGTTATACCGAGAAAGTTACGGGAAGTTGTGCTGTGTCAATCCCATGACCTCAATGTCTTCTTAACTCCAAGATGTCCTCCTGTTAAACTTCCCCTATGACAGAGACTGGATAGGTATGAGGCAAGATGTGGAAGAATGGAGCAGGACATGAAGTACATGTTGTGCTAAAAGGGGACCCAAGCATAATGGAAGTGCTCCAATGAAGTTATATCAAGTTGGTGCACCAATGGAAAGAATAGCCCTTTACATTGCTGGTCCATTGCCCCGAACTCGTGCTGGAAATAGGTACATTTGTGTGTTGATAGATTATTTCATCAAGTGGCCTGAGGCATATGCAATACCAAATCAGGAGGCTACAACTGTAGCTTCGGCTATTAGTGATTTCTTCTTCACGTTTGGTATGCTATATGAACTGCATTCGGATCAAGGCCGTAATTTTGAATCAGCTGTGTTCCATGAATGCTGCAAGTTGTTTGGTACACGAAAGACCAGGTCACACCACTTCACCCACAGTGTGATGGGATGGTAGAAAAGTACAATTGGACACTGGGACAGGAATTGGCAGAGTTTTGTAATAGCTTAGCTGCCAAGATGACTGGGATATCTTACTCCCTCCACTGTTGATGGCCTATAGAACAGCAGAGCATGAAGTCATTAGATACATTCCAGCAAAGCTGATGTTTGGTCAGGAACTTTGGTTGCCAGTGGACCTGATAACAGGATGCCCACGTTACAAAGAGTTGCCTGAAAATGTGCCAGAGTTTGTGAAAGTGTTATCTGAAAGGATGAATGATATTCACCATCAAGTGGGTTGAAACTTGAAAACGTCTGCTGATTCCATGAAGCTATGTTATGAGAAGAGATCTACTGAAGTCAGCTTTGTACCAGGAGACAAGGTATGGTTGTGTAATCCCAAGAAGACCAAAGGGAAGTCTCCTAAGTTGTCTTCGCCATGGGAAGGCCCATATGAAATAGTGGATTGTCTCTCAGATGTGACTTTCCAGATAAAATGTGGTCGGCGAGGTAAGCCAAAGGTGATGCATGCCAACAAGCTTTGGCGTTATCATGGTCCAGGACATTTCAGTTGGAACAAAGTGAACAATGGAACAAATGATGCTGCTGAAGACGTGTCATCTGAAAAAGCCACTGTCGAAGAAATTCTACCCGGTTTTGATAAGGAAGACAGTGAAGCCATTAATAAAGTTACTACCACTGATGTGACTGTTACCTATATTGGGATATTTCCTGATGAACCCCACGTTGAGCAGAAGCCAATGAGACACAGACCAGTACGGAAGAAGATACGACCTGTAAA